AATATGAGCATCCAGGTTCCTCTATTGGTTATTGACCGGAAGTGAGTCTCGGTCATGTCTACATAGTTCTCGAACCCGTAGGGTTCGCACGCTTAACGTTCGATGACGATCGGTATTATGAGTTTATGTGTTTTGATGTACCGAAGGTTGTTCGGAGTCCCAGATGTGATCACGGACATGATGAGGAGTCTCGAAATGGTCGAGACATAAAGATTGATATATTGGGAGGCTATGTTTGGACACCGGAAAGGTTCCGAGTGGTTCGGACATTTTTTCGGAGTACCGGGAGGTTACCGGAACCCCCCGGGGAGTTAATGGGCCTTAATGGGCCATGGTGGAAGAGAGGAGGAGGCGTCCAAGGTGGGGGCGCCCCCCCTCCCAAGCCCAATCAGAATTGCGAGGGGGGTCGGCCTCCCTTTCCTTCTCTCCCTCTCCCTCTTCCTTCTTCTCCTACTCCAACTAGGGAAGAGGGGAAATCTACTCCTACTGGGAGTAGGACTCCCCCCCTTGGGCGTGCCATAGAGAGGGTCGGCCCTCCCCTCCTCCACTCCTTTATATACGGAGGAAGGGGGCACCCCATAGACACACACGTTTATTGTTTAGCCGTGTGCGGTGCCCCCTCCACAGATTTCCACCTCGGTCATACCGTTGTAGTGCTTAGGCGAAGCCCTGCGTCGATAACTTCATCATCACCGTCATCATGCCGTCGTGCTGACGAAACTCTCCCTCGAACTCAGCTGGATCTAGAGTTTGTGGGACGTCATCGAGCTGAACGTGTGCAGATCGCGGAGGTCTCGTACCTTCGATGCTAGGATCGGTCGGATCGTGAAGACGTACGACTACATCAACTGTGTTGTCATAACGCTTCCGCTTTCGGTCTACGAGGATACGTAGACAACACTCTCCCCTCTCGTTGCTATGCATCACATAGATACATCTTGCGTGATCATAGGATTTTTTTTAAAATTATTGCGTTCCCCAACACTAGCTAGCCAGCGTGGCACTGCATGCCTCGTCAGCCTGGACGCGTGTCAAGGCAAGGAAGGGCGGCGACGGACGGGATGGCTTCTGTTGCCGGCCCCGATAAAGTAATGGGGCATGTAGGCAACGCATTAAATGCGTTTGTCCTACGGTGCTGAGCGATAAGCTCATACACTGTAGCTTGCTTTCCACCTCCTGTATGCCACTGTGGCAACCCCTTTTACGTATGAAAGGAGGCCCGAGGTGTAATGAGAGAGGATTCAGACTTTTTGGACTGGGCATGCACCGCAGCTAGTTCAAGAGCTCAAGAACACATATATACACACAAGCAGGACTAGGGTTTTACGCACCAGTGCGGCCCGAACCTGGGTAAAAATCCCCTTTGTGCTGACTGCTAGACCCATTCTTCGTGCAGCTACTCTTTCCGTCAAACGTAGAAGGGATTCCTGTGATCCCATAGGTGCTTGTTTCCCCGACAGGGTTCGACCAAAAATGAAAAACTTTTTCTCAGGCATGTTATGGTGGGCCTCTCATTAAGTTGCATGTGTGTATTTCGAATGAACTATTTAGGTATATATGATATAGGATTTAAGATTCATGGACAAGATTCAGCTTTGTCAGTTAAGTAACATTCATGGAAGTCATAAAAAAAACAAAATTGATGCTCCAAAAGTATTATTTTTGAAAACATTTTGGAGTGCCGGTTTTGTCTTTTTTTTACCACGGCTTCTATGAATGTCATTTCATGATGAAATTTTGTAAGCATTAAGATTTTTGTCAATGTTTGCACAAAAAAATCAGAATTTTTTAAATGCTTTTCTTTTTTCGGATTTTACTGTTCATCATGAGTTCAAATGAGTTCGCGAGCGGAAGATGACTTTTGTTAAAAAAGGTTTCTTGGTAGGGTCACGTTGAACTTTACTCGTACCCGTTCCGTGTGGCACTAGTACTACCTTGGTACAGATCTCAGCTGCACACAGTTACACACCATACGGGGCTATGCCTTCACCGCTTCACGTGACCTTTCAACAGTGTCCACGGCTCGTGCTGCTACCACGTCCACCGTCATCGCACGCCTCCGCCTGTGGCAAAAAACACATATTTGACCTAAGGACAAAAATAATTCACAATCTAAACTCCTTTCGAAAAAATTGCACCGAACTGACCGTTTCGAGTGGCGCCCGACAGATAGGCGCCACACTATGCTGTGTAGCGCCTGGAGCTTAGGCGCCACACGCCGGTCCAACGTGGCAGCCCGGGCCCCACTCCTGGTTGTGCATCGCCTAGCTGAAAGGAGTTGCACAATGTAGTGCAGCGCCTAACCGAAAGGAGTTGCACTACCTTATATTAAAATTGTTGTAACTTTTAATCCATGCATCCGATGAAAACGTGCCTTATATGAAAGTTGTACATTTTCCCGTGTTCTACGCAATGGTGGCATTTTCATCTATGTTAGGATCAATTTGCTTGATGAAAACCTTGTTGCAAAAGTGCATCATAATATAACTGACATAATCTGTTAAAATTTACAAACTTGGCATGATGATAGCCATTCACCTATAGCTCTGACGTGTTTTCAGTCTACATGAGTTTTGCACTGCATAATGTGTACTTTCACGCCATGCCTATGCTTGCCATGTTAATCATCCTTAACATGTTCATTTCTTGGATCTAAGTGACTAACATGATATAAGTGAACTTCTGTTACAGAAAATTACATTTTGTAAGATCCATAGTAATTAAACCTAACATCATATGAATATGATCTAACTATGAAAGTTGGAAAAATTTATGTCTACCTTAAGTCTATGTCATTTTCATATCTACTAAATATTTGCATCACTATGTTTTGAGACACTAAAGTAAATAAGGCAATGTTCTGCCAGATTGACACGTTAATTTCACCAAGTCACTGGATGTCACCAAGCCACGACCGTGCTGATAAAATGCAAAGTTCTGCCACTTGGGTTCAACTTGTCAACCGCCTTTTGTGCGGCCGCCCACTTATGACAATCTTTGTTGATTGTCGACCATGGGGAGCGAAGATATCGGTCGGAGCGGTCAATTCCACTCTTGTTGTGTAGATCAAAGTGCTCCTTCATCCAGTTCCAATAAGCATCTCTACTTTGATCACCTCCAACGGATGGATCCCTCGACCCTTGCAACCAAGTATTGCATAGTAAGACGTCTTCTTCGTTGGTGTAGTTGCCTCCTCTTCCTTTCGGTGCGTCGACAATGCCCTTACCATCCTCGTCCACCTCGAACTCATGGTCATCGAAATGCATGTCATTGATTTGAGACCAATGTGAATTGTTGGAGCCAACACCCATAGTTGACATATACGCCTCATCTTTGAAGCTACAAAGTATATACAATGAAGCAAATAAGCTATCTATATGTGTGCATTCAAAAAATCACAACAACAAAAAAGTTGGCGAAATTTTATTACTTTGGGGCATTTCCTCGAACACCTTGTGCGCGTCGGCCGCCGGCTCAACAAGTGAGCTCGTCGGCGCTTCGGTAGCAGTCGCGCCCGTCACACACCCTGCAAGCTTCTTACTCGACGGCTTCGAAGAGCCGGAGCCGTCCGCCTCCTTGTTCTTCTTCGCGGATGCCTTGCACTTCTTCGGCCGCGCCGCATTTGGGAGCTTCGAGTGGGGGGCACGTGGCTTCACGGCGGGTTAGATCATATTCATATGATGTTAGGATTAATTACTATGGGTCTTACAAAATGTAACTTTCTGTAACAGGAGTTCACTTATATCATGTTAGTCACTTAGATCCAAGAAATGAACATGTTAAGGATGATTAACATGGCAAGCATAGGCATGGCGTGAAAGTACACATTATGCAGTGCAAAACTCATGTAGGTTGAAAACGCGTCAGAGCTATAGGTGAATGGCTATCATCATGCCAAGTTTGTAAATTTTAACAGATTCTGTCAATTATATTATGATGCACTTTTGCAACAAGGTTTTCATCAAGCAAATTGATCCTAACATAGATGAAAATGCCACCATTGCATAGAACACGGAAAAATGTACAACTTTCATATAAGGCATGTTTTCATCGGATGCACGGATTAAAAGTTACAACAGTTTTAATATAAGGTAGTGCAACTCCTTTCGGTTAGGCGCTGCACTACACTATGCAACTCCTTTCAGCTAGGCGCTGCACAACCAGGAGTGGGGCCCGGGCTGCCACGTTGGACCGGCGTGTGGCGCCTAAGTTTCAGGCGCTGCACAATATAGTGTGGTGCCTATCTGTCGGACGCCACTCGAAACGGTCAGCTCGGTGCAATTTTTTCGAAAGGAGTTCAGATTATGAATTTTTTTTCATCCTCAGGTCAAATATGTGTTTTTTGCCTCCGCCTGTCGCGTAGGTGAAGTCCAGTCCCACCACCTACATACGGCGCCCGCCCAAGAGGAGACGCCGTCGCCGGCACCACCACTGTTGCAGCGGCCACGCACTGTTCGTCGGCGCCACCGCGCGTGGATCCGAATCCGATGTCCTCAGATCCAATCCCACTGGCGTACTACATTCCTCCGCCATCCTTGTACAGATCACACGGCGAGGACCATGAGATCCGACATCCAGAGAACACAGCCACGCAAAACAGTGCGCGCACGGCGCGGGGCATCCTGTCCGGCGAGCCAGCCATCAATTCACCGGCGGCGCCCGGCAACCGTGCACCGCTGCACGGCGGCTCGCGCCTCGTCACCATGTCAGGGCGCGCGCGGGTCGGAGCCGTCGAGTCGAACCCATCCATCCGTCCGTTGCCCACCTCCCCAACCAACCACGCCCGCGCCCGTATTTAAACCCCAACCGGTTACCGGCGAACTGCCGTGTGCCGGCTTCCGTCCATCCCCCCATCTCGGGCCGGATATATACGCCACCCCTACACGCGTCCCACCAACAAACCGAGGCCGTGCACTCACACAGCGAGCGAGCTCAGCTTAGCCTAGCCCAAGCAGTCGCGAGCTTGCACGTATACTCAGCTGTTGCGCGGCGCGATCGGCATGGGGCTGGAGGGGGAAACGACGGCGGCGGCGGCGGTGCACGGGCACCGGCTGTCGACGGTGGTGCCTAGCTCGGTGACGGAGGTGGAGGGGTACGAGCTGGGGGACGCGGACCTGGCGTTCCGGCTGCACTACCTGCGCGGGGTGTACTACTACGCGGCGGGGGAGGTGGTGCGCGGGGTGACCACCAAGGTGCTCAAGGACCCGATGTTCCCCTGGCTGGACGCCTACTACCCCGTGGCCGGCCGCGTCCGCCGCCCCGCCGACGACGCCGGCGCCGAGCAGGAGGCCTCGCGCCGGCCCTACGTCAAGTGCAACGACTGCGGCGTCCGCATCGTGGAGGCCCAGTGCGAGCGCGCGCTGGACGAGTGGCTCCGCGACGACGCCGTCGACCGCGTCCGCCAGCTCTGCTACGACAAGGTGCTCGGCCCGGAGCTCTTCTTCTCCCCGCTGCTCTACGTCCAGGTAAACAGACCGTCGACCATTCTCATTCTCGCCTCCAATCCAATCATACCCCGATAATGAAATGAATAGTAGTACCACTTATTCGATTAAACAACTACTCGGCCAGTTGAATCTTCAACCGGGAGTTGCTTGCGAGGATTGTTGACATCGTAGATAAGGATTTTACTACTTTTACCAGAGATCGATCTGTTCTGGCTTGGCGCGACCGGTTCTTGACGCGGGATAAGGATTAGATGATCATCAAGATGTAGCTTTCGGTGTGGTTCGCAGCTGTACGTGTAACCATCAAAAAATTATGCTAGAACTGGGTATGGACCTCAAAATCGGAAGCCATTAGTGCGCCCGGCTGATGTTGCTTGGACTGGGAGCAAACTGATTACTTGATTGCTGCTGCATCCGGCATCCGGCATCCCGCATCCGGCATTTCTAGTTCGTGGGGACTGAAGGGGCGTTTCGTCCCCGCTCTTCTTAAATCGTCAGTAGAGTGTAGTATTAGTACGATGTACAGGGGTCATGCGAAGCAGGTGAGGCGGTTTCAGCGGTAGGATAGGGCATCCCACCGATGTGCATGATCAGAATTCCATCCAGCAAAATCTTGTTCCAATATGGTGATGCACTGATGAATCAACTGATGATGATACACTAGACGAGAAAAAATTGGCATGTGGAAGGTGAAAAAGTAAGTGGTGTTCCACTGTGCAGATCATGTGCATTTTACTACTACAATACATCATTCATTGCGCCCGTACCGGGGCCTGCCAATTGGCATCGTCGCTACTAGTATTAACTGCACCACGTCTGCCTCTGCTGAGACAAAGAACCGGTGTCAGTGCAACTTGTGTACTACGTACGTACTGTAATTCAGTTTTCCTTTCCATCCGAGATTACTACTCGTACCACATCTCAGCTGCCAACATCTCTTGAATTGAATTCCAACCAAACCATCAATCTATCATACATCAAACTCGACAAAAGGAAGATCCAGCTGAATTTGATCCTACTACCAGTATTGGTGCTAGAGAATATCCGGTGAAAACCATGTACTCCATTGACATCACAAATAGAAGTTTATCCTGGACAAAAGGAAGTTTCAATAATTTCTGAAAATAATAGAGTATGTTGAAGAGATGGCTCTCTGTTGACATATAAAATTCGAAGTTCAAACACAAATTAATTTATGAGGTATGGAAAAAAAAATTACAAATTCGGCAATGAGTAGTACTAGTGCCAAACAGTAAAAGTCGCTATCTATCCCCGAATTGCTTTTCTTTTTTAGTACCTCATAATTGATTTTGTGTCTAAAGTTGAATTTCACATGCTAATAATAGAACATCAACCTCTTAATATACTGTATTGTTTTTTTGACAATTTTTGAAAATTTTCAAACCCAGTTCCCACTTCCCACCTAGTTTTCATTGTAACTTGGTTTCCACCGGATACTTTCTCGGTGCTTGAAGTTCAGTAATACGCTGTATCCCTGAACTTCACCAGTGAATCGCCTAAGGCTGGTCACAATGGGCAAGAACATAAGCTAGTAACTTCACACTTCCCTAGACTATGTTACTACCTCCATAGTGGGTAGGAACATCTATGTCCTGTCATGCAACGATGTATTTATTAGGTTATAGACTCATTGTTTCTTGGAGTGTGTGATGTTCCGGTAACTTAGCTAGTTACCACAAGCACCTCTCTCTTCATTAAATACGTGCCACATAAGCAAAATTGTATTGGAGTGTGTGATGTTACTCCTAAATTCCTCCCCACTGTGACCAGCCTAAGCTAGCCATGCGTGCGTTCATTTGACAACAGTGAACCCAAGTAGGTAGAAGAGCGAACACTCGCACTGAAGACGACCCAACACTCGGACTGAAGACGATCATTTAAGGATGCGTGTGCGCTCGCAGTCAGCATAAATGTTTTACGGATCGCCGTCATTGCCGGTGGTGCATTGTGAATTTATGATCAGCTTTGCCATGTGGATGGAGTAGGGCCACCGTGTCTCGACTTATGTGGCCAAGTCGCCCGTCTAGTCCCGGTCCCAAGCTTGCTTCCTTGGCCTGTATTAAACTTGAATCTTTTTCTGCACAGTATACTGGTAACTGATTTCAGCTCCAAGTTGTAAAAATGACAGCGCGACTGACTGAGCTTCGCAGGTCACAAAGTTCAAGTGTGGAGCGATGGCGCTCGGGTTCAGCTGGGCGCACCTCATCGGCGACGTGGCCACGGCGACGACCTGCTTCAATCACTGGGCAAAGATACTGGGCGGCAAGACGCCAGACGCCGTCACCGTGAACCCCAGGAACGAGCCGCAAGACCGCGCGCCTGCCGACGCCGCCGTGCCGCGCTCCGTGAAGTCGGTCGGGCCCATCGAGGACTACTGGTTTGTCCCCGCCGGCGTCGACATGGCGGGCTACTCCTTCCACGTCACCGAGCCGATGCTCACGAGGCTGCAGCAGCAGGAGCCAGCGGCTGCCGGCGGCGCCTTCGAGCTCATCTCGGCGCTCCTGTGGCAGACGGTGGCGAAGATCAGGGCCGCCAAGGAGGTGAAGACGGTGACGGTGGTGAGGAACGACATGTCGGCCAGGAGCGGCAACTCCCTGGCCAACGAGCAGAGGGTCGGGTACGTGGAGGCGGGCTCCCCGCCGGCCAAGACCGACGTGTCCGAGCTGGCGGCGCTGCTGGCCAAGAACGTCGTCGATGAGACCGCGGCGGTGGTCGCGTTCCCGGGGGACGTGATCATCTACGGCGCCAACCTAACGTTCGTGGACATGGAGCAGGTGGACCTGTACGGGCTGGAGATCAAGGGGCAGAGGCCCGCGCACGTGGAGTACGGCTTGGACGGCGTCGGCGAGGAGGGCGCCGTGCTGGTGCAGCCGGACGCCGACGGGCGCGGCCGCGTCGTCACGGCGGTGCTCCCCAAGGACGAGGTGGAGGCCCTCCGCGCCGCGCTCGGGAGCACGCTCCTGCAGCCGGCTCCCTGAAACTTCAGTTGGGTGGTTTTCAGTTGGTTACGTTTGATTGCTTTCGAGAGTGATTTGCTGGGGTTATTTCAGTAATCGATGCGGGTGTGGGGTGACTGTGTGTGTGTGTGGTACGAATGTACGATGTTACGAAATAACTTACGCAAAATGTACCCAGGATTGCAATAATTTGTCAAACTAGTTTAGAGGACTGGCTTGGAGGTAAACCTCGAACTGCTTGGTCTATGGGTGTTTGATTTGATACGCATAAGCCTCTAACAACTACTCCTTCCATCTCATAATGCAAGACGCTTTTTGACACTATACTATTGTGAAAAAATGTCTTACATTATGGGACGTAGAGAATATGTTATTATTATTCGGTTTTTAAGGAGTAAGCCAGACATAGTCAATCCATTTGTAGATGACTATGCTAACTACGTTGGCCGAATCCATTTGTAGCTAGACAAATAACAACGTGAAAATAAAAAAACTACATGAATTTCGCAAAACGCTGCGAATTTTAACAGTGTGGTCAATTTACAAAAATATTGGGTGTCTTGCAAAATAATATAGTCTGTTTTGTTAATTTGAAAAATATTGGAAATTAAAAATTCAAAAATTCATGTCGAACATTTGTTCATTTGTTTTTGGTTATTTCTATATTTTCATTATTTTTAAAATACATGCCGATTTATTTAATAAATGCTGTACATTTTCGCATACACTCTGCACTTTGTTTTTATAATCATTGAACATTTTTCAAATATGTGATGAACATGTTTTTATATACATGTCCCAACATTTTTTTTGAATACAGAAATACACGTTGATTTTTTTTTGAACACATGATGATATTTTTAAAACAGATGTTCACCATTTTTTTGAATACACATTGTATATAGTTCCTATACATATTGTACATTGTCCACATACACATTGAACCTTTCTGGGTACACATTGAACATTATTCATATGCATGATAATTTGTTTTAAATGCATGTTTGAGCATTTTTTTTCCAAATACTTGTTAAACATTTTTTGAATACATGTTGAACATTTTCCATTGGATGTGAAACAATTTTCCGATACACCTTGAACATTTTGTTAAATACAAGGTGAACATTTTTAAATATATTTGATCATTTTTTCGTATATTCATTGTATATTCTTGTATACACGCTGATATTTTTATACATTTTGAACATTTTCAAATACATAATGAAAATGTCTTCAAAATACATATTTGAATTTTAAAATACATGTTTAACATTTATAAAATCCGTGATGAACATTTCTTGAATAGACGTTGATGTTTTCTTAGTGCAAGTGAAACTTTATATTGAATTGTACATACATTTTTTAAATCTCGCGTGTCCAATATTTTTTAATGCATAATGGAAGATTTTAAAAATTGAAGTGAATTAATTAATTCAACGATCTGTATTTAGAATATTTAAAATGTATACAAACCAAAAACAAGAACGAACAATGTAAAAACCAAATGAAATGGACGAACCAATAAAAAAAACCCGGAACGCTAGTCGGCCTGCCACTAGCTCGTGCCATAAACACAATGCTAGGTCGGTATAGCTTTTTGTTTTAGCACTGCAAACACTCTTTGTATTAACTTAAAATGTTTACAGGGATACATGAAATCTCTGGGCTAGAGTTAAGCTAGAGATGACGGCCAAAAGTAATGGTCGTGGCAGCTCTTGCCAAGTTATGTGCCTCTACATTCAGACTCCTCTTCTCGTGGACAACCTGTACTGAACTGAAGTTTTGAAACCTCCTTTTAGCCTCCTCGTTGATCGCTGCAGAACTACCCTTATACTCCTCTTTCAGGAGATTTACCGTGGCTGAAAAATCAGTCGCTATCATTTTATTGCATGCTAGTTCAGATAGTTCTGCTAGATAGCTCGTAATAATGGGCCGGCCCATTAGCTGCATCGCTTGACAACTTCGCTCACACCGCGTTCTGTCGCTTCCCTCGATGATTCAGTCCGGTTTTCTTCTCTTTTGTTTTCGTGTAATTATGTTATATTTTCCTTCGGTTTTCTTTATTGGTCTTGAATTTATTATTTTTGCGAGTTTGAATTTCTTTTTTCCGTCCTTATGTTTTCGGGTTTCTTTATTTTTGCAATGGTTTTCTTCGGTATTTAATTTTTCTTCTTTATAATTTACTTTTCTTAGTTTATTTCTTCGTATTTTTGCTTCTTAATTTATCTTTTGATTTCATTGTCAGTTTATTTTGCCAACGCATGTCTACCTTTTCATACACGTTGTATATTTTTTGTATGGATGCAAAACATTTTTAGACTCATTTAAAAAAAATTCAAATACATGTTTAACATTTTTACCAATACATGTTTTCAATTTTTTTCAAATAAGTGTTAATTTTTTTCAGTTCATGTTAAACATTTTTTTGAATGATAGGAAACTTTTTTTGAAAATGTCATGAATACATTTTCGAAACTTTGTGGATATTTTCTAAAATGTGACATACATTTTTAAATTTAAAAGCATATTTTGTGAAGTACACAAATATTTATTTACATTGTATAAACATTTTTTTAATGTTACATACATTTTTTTTTCAAATGTGTGACATTTTTTAATTCTTACAAACCTTTTTAATACAGATTATTAACATTTTTGGTACACACAATTTTTTTGAAACAGAGGCAAAAGCTTTGCCTCATCTCAATAATAATGAAGAAAAGAATTGCCCGGTTAATTATGGGAAACCGGGCGAAAACTGCTACATCCCATGAAGGGGCAACATTGGCCAACCTGACTATCCACAGAAGACTCACACGTGCCACCGAGAGAGGCGCACCATCAAGGTTGACTAAAGGTGTCATCGCCATCACTACCATTAGGGGGGATTTACTATAGCTTGACACTGGGGATGTTGCAACTCGCAATTGGGCTCGTAGTTTCGTAGTTGTCCAAATTGCAAGTCCATCATCGATTTGCAAATGGGTTTGTATTTGTCCTAGTTGCAAGTATACCGTCGACTCGCAAGTGGGTTTGTGTTTTCCTTTTCATCCAGTGGCGAGTTCATGCTCTACTCGTAACTTGGCTTGTAGTTTGTTATTGTCCCAAGCAAATCCACCCTCGACTCGCAAATGGTAGCATAATTTTGTGTAGTTGTCACATAATTTTGTGTAGTTGTCCCAGTTGCAGGTCTGCCATTGACTCGGAACTAGGACCGTAGTCTGTTTCATCGCAGTTGAAATTCCATCCTTGGCTCGCAACTTGGCTCATAATTTCATAGTTTTTCTAGTTACAAGTCCACCCGCGAATCGCCACTGGCATATGTCTTTGCTTTTCATCCTAGTTGCAAGTCCACGCTTGACTCGCAACATGGCTCTTAGTTTGTTATAAGTCCCAGTTGCAAGTACACCCTTGACTTGCAACTAGTATCATAGTTTTGTGTAGTTGTCTCAGTTGCAAGTACACTCTCAACTTGTAACTAGGCCCATAGTTTGTTCTTCATCCTATTTGGAAGTCCACCCTCGACTCACAACTAGAAATATAGTTCGCTTCCATCCTAGTTGCAAGTCCAACCTCGGCTTGCAACTAGGCTCGTAATTGTCTGGCTTGCAACTAGGCTCGTAATTGTCCCAATTGCAAGTCCATCCTTGAATCACAACTAGTCTCGTATGTTGTTCCACTTGCAAATCCACGCTTGTCTTGCAACTCGGCTCATAGTTTTGTTGTTCTGCAAGTTCATCCTCCGACTCGCAAATGGGCCATTTGTTCTCATCCTAGTTGGAAGTCCACCCTTGACTCGCAATTTGTACCGTAGTTTTGTGTAGTTATCCCAATTGCATGTCCACCATCCACTCGCAACTATGCACATAGTTTGTTTTTCATCCCAATTGCAAGTCCACCCTAAACTCACAACTAGGATTGTAATTTGTAATCATCCTAGTTGCAATTCCGCCCTAACTCACAACTAGACTCTTAGTTGCCCCGATTGCAAGTTCTCCCTCGAATCGCAAATGGTCTCGTAGTTTTCTGTAGTTGTCCTAGTTGCAAGTCCACCCGCGACTCACAACTCGGCCCATAGTTTTGTTTTTGTTCCAGTTGCAAGTCCACCCTCGACTCACAAATGGTCTTGAAGTTATTTTTGTCACCTCAGTTTGCAAGTCCACCCTGGGCTTACAACTAGCACCGACCTTTTTTTGTTCTCCACCCCTAGTTGCAAGTCCACTCTCTACTTGCAATCAGGCTTTTTTTAACCTTTTTTATTTGTTGCCTTACTCAAGCCCACCCTTTTTTTATGAGTAGGTCATCCCTTTTTATTCTTCGCCCTAGTTGTATGTTCATCACCGACTTACAATTGTCTCTAAGTTTATTTTGTTGCAGTTACTACTTCACATCAACCTGCAACTCGGGTCAGCTACCAATGTTTTATCCCAGGTACAATTCTACCTTTAATACGCAAAATGTAAGCCCCGAACCTGATAGCTACTAGTCCACTTTTCCCCCTTATTAACTCCTCAACAGTTTTTATTTTCTATTTTTTGGGCCCAACCCAATTTTTTTAAATGTCTCCGTTGCAAGCCCATTTTGACCCTTTTTTGAATTCTTTTTGAAAAATATGTAACTGAGTCAGAGGGAACCAAGTTTTCATGTTTTTTTTGAAAAACCATCATTCATATGATTTTTAGTTCCCAACCCATTGAGTTAGTTCCTCACCTTTTTTCAAATATCATAGTTGTACAGAAATGATACACACCCTTTTGAGTCATATTCTTTTATATACAAGACTAATTTTTACCAATTCAAAAAATCTTCTTGTTTTCAAAAAAAGTTCATACATTTTTAAATATGTTCTCTTTAAAAAATTGTGTTCACCAATACAAAATATATTTGTGTTTTAAAAATTCTTAAGAATTTCAAAATACGTCATCATTTTCATGTTTTATTTGAAAATTCAAAAATGTTCAGAAATTTTAGAATTTCTTCACAGTTTTTAAAAATGCTAGAATTTTTTAAAATGTTCATAA